AAAAAAAAAAAAAAAAAACAAAGAAGACAGCACCCTTAGCTCAGTGGGTAGGACGCTGGTCACGTACACCGGGGCTGTTAAAACAATGACAGCTGCAACAAAAAAAACAGCAGGGCATTATGGCAGGCACATGTAGTGCCAATTACTTGGGAAGCTGAGGCAAGAGAATTGCTTAAGCCCAAGAGTTTGAGGTTGCTGTGAGCTGCGGCGCTGTGGCACTCTAGCCAGGGTGACAGTTTGAGACTCTTATCTCAAAAAAAACAAAACAAAACAAAACAAAACAAGGTTTATTAACTACTGTTTAAGGCTACCTTGTTAGCAAAACTGAATAAGGATGCTACCAAAAACTATGATTCTCACAGAGAAGAAAAAAATACTAAATGAAATTAATAACCAACCAGATTTAGTAATGTATTTAAAAGTGTTATCAGGTATATCTAAAACACATGGATAGACCAAGTAGGAAATGATTGATACATATTACATTGAAGGATTAAAGGAAAACTATATGATCATTTCTGCAGATAACTGAGGAAAATACCTATAAAATTTACTACTATTTTATGTCCTAGCAAGTTCAAATTAAGAGTAAAATTCTTTAATTAAAATAAGGCATATAGACTGGTCACAGTGACTCACACCTACAGTCCCAGCCCTTTAGGAGGTCAAAGTTGGAGGATTGTTTGTGGCCAGGAGTTTGAGACCAGCCTGAGCAGGAAATTTTGACCCTGTCTCTACAAAAAATAGAAAAATTAGTCAGGTGTGGTGGTGAGCTCCCATAGTCCCAGCTACTCAGAAGGATTGGCCTGAGCCCGGAAGTTTGAGGTTACAGTGAACTATTATGATGATGCTGCTGCTGTATTCTAGCCCCAGCAACAGAGCAAGATCTTGTCTTCAAGAAAAAAAAAAAGGAATATATACCAGAAACCTATAGTAGACTCATCCTAATTAATTCTGAAACACTGGAAGTCTTCTCATTAAAATCTAGAATAAAACAAGATATCCTTCTTAACTGTTTCAACATTGTGCTAGAAGTCCTAGCTAGTAGAATAAAATAAGAAAAGACAAAACTAGTTTCTTTCTTGCAGACTTACTTGCTTACAGAAGAAATCAAGAACATCAGCTAAAAAGTTTTAGGTACATGAGTTGGGTGGCCAGATAAAAGATAAGCATACAGAAATCAGCAGTTAATGATAAGGAGATATGAAATATTTCAAATTCTACTAATAACAAAAAGACTGAGAGGTGAATTAGACAACAACCAAAAAAAAGAAAAAAGTATCTTTGGAATCTACTTGAAGGAAATTTCACAAACTTTTCCAAAGCATATAAATGAAGAGATATTATAAGTTGATTTTAAATTTCAATTGGGGCTCCATGCCTGTAGCTCAAGCGGCTAAGGCGCCAGCCCCATACACCAGAGCTGGCAGGTTTGAATCCAGCCCAGGCCTGCCAAACAACAATGACAACTACAACCAAAAAATAGCTGGGCATTGTGGCGGGCGCCTGTTGTCCCAACTACTTGGGAGGCTGAGGCAAGAGAATCTTTTAAACCCAAGAGTTAGAGGTTGCTGTGAGCTGTGATGTCACAGCACTTCATCTAGGGCAACAGCTTGAAGCTCTGTCTCAAAAAAATAAATAAATAAATTTCAATTGGAAGAACAGATGTGAATGGCTAGCTAAGAAAAATTTGAAAACACTGAAATTGAGAAGAAGGAAAAATTTGAAAACAGAATGAAGGGGCTTTTGATACTGGATATTGTAAAGTTACATAGTAAATGAAGATGCTGTGTTGTTGGAGCAGTAATAGATTAATAGCTCATTGGAACAAAGTAAGTCATGATGCATATGGGAATTTAATAGGTGCTAAGTAGTCAGATCTTGGGAAGAGACTTAATCAGTAATACTATTAGGACAGTTATTTAACTGTTATGTATGGGATTGTGGTATGTAGCACATATTGCAGGGGTTTTCTTAAAATTGGAATGCATTTTAAATTTTTCAAATAAAACATTAGTGATTGTTCAAAATACTTCTTAGAATCAAGTTTGACGGAGTTTCTGGATAGTCTTCCCAGCAGGATGCTAAACACATAGTCAGCAGTTTGGATGATAAATGAGAGAGACACCTACAGCCTGGTCTATCAGGAAAGGCTAATGATAAGAAAAGAGGGTGAACAAAGTTGAAGTGTATACTCAGTAACAATTATTAGTAACCAGTGTTGACTCATCTACACTCGTATCCATTTATTTACTCCTTTCTCTTGGATTGTGATTTGGATTTCAGAAGCAGAGGTTACACATAAGGAAGAGGAAGAAGGATAGGACTTTTCCTGTATTTTGAACTTCAGTGACCCAATGCACCTAACCCACAGTGCTCATGTTATAGTCTATGTTAATGGAAGTCATATGATTCGGTTACTTTCATGTTTCAGGTCAGCAAATTAAAACGTCACATTCGCTCTCATACTGGAGAGCGTCCGTTCCAGTGCAGTTTGTGTAGTTATGCCAGCAGGGACACATACAAGCTGAAAAGGCACATGAGAACCCATTCAGGTATGACTTCTCCACTCCTTGTTGTATTAATGAACTGCTTTTCAGTGGATCCCACAGGACCCAATACCACCACATGCCCGATAGCTTACCTGAATGACAAGATGACATAGTATATGATGGGATGCTTCTCTCTCTTGGCATATCTTCTGAATTTATTGTTCTGGGAATACATTGGAGAGTAGATTTTGTTTTGTTCAATTTGAGTCCTTCTACAACATGTAAATAATACTTTAAGGGAGAAATAAAATGAAACAAAAGTCTAGAAGTTGTACTTTTTAAAGTCTGGGTAGTATTTAACCCAACTTGTTCAGTTTCCCCAAGTGCTGTCTTTTGCTAAAATGAAGAACTTGTAGGTCCTCCATGTAGTCTCCCCCAAAGGTAAGCATTGTCATAGTATCTGCTGTGAACAGAACAGAGCTGGGCAGCAGAGAGGGGCCAGTCAGCAGTTTAGGGCTTGTTGCCATCTCTGAAGATAGATGGCAGCGGGCTGCCGAGACTGAGCCTCAGCCTTCCAGAGTAAGACCTATAGATTCTTGGGCTTAGCACAACTACCACCTGAGTTACCCTTCCATTACATGACAGTATTTGTTTTATTTAATGTATTCATTCTGTATTTCCTTTTAAGGGGAAAAACCTTACGAATGTTATATTTGTCATGCTCGGTTTACCCAGAGTGGTACCATGAAGATGCACATTTTACAGAAGCACACAGAAAATGTGGCCAAATTTCACTGTCCCCACTGTGACACGGTCATAGCCCGAAAAAGTGATTTGGGTAAGTAGATTAATTAGTGGCAGGTGAAAAAAAATATTTTGAAGGATTAGTGAAAATACGAGGACCATAAATAGCATCATCTTTTGACTCTCACACATGTTGTTTATGTGAATGGCCTGCCACTTAGGAAAACGATTGCTTAGCTGCTATTTTTTTTTTCTATCTCTTCTTTCTCTTACTGCAGTCATACCACAAAATTTTATCCTGAGTATAGCTCATCTGTAAATTAATGAGAGCTGTGATGGAAGGAAATAATGTATACCTTTAATTAGTAGCCTTCATTTCCCAAATAGGGAAGTGACATAGTACAAGTAAAATAAAAGTGACAACAGTCAACCTATTGCATTTTTTCCCCAGAACATTTGTACTTTCTAAGTAATTAGACTGCGTTATTGGTGACAACTGTGTTTCTGTGCATAGGCACACTACAACAGAGTTTATCTGTGCATAGTTCACATACAACAGAATTTATCAATAAAAAGTTTAGTGTTGACATAAAGATAGAATTCCCTGGCTTTATCCCTTGATTTTACTTATTGAAAAAAAGAAATCTAAATATTGTCCATTCTGTTCTTTGCTCAAAATACTTTGCTCCTGGCTCAGCGCCCATAGTTCAGTGGTTAGGGTGCCAGCCACATACATTAGGGCTGGTGAGTTCAAACTTGGCCCAAAGGTTTCTATGAGCTGTCACTCTACCAAGGATGACAAACCAAGAAAAAAGAAAAGAAAAAAAAGAAAAAAAAACTTGCTCCCTGAACATTATTTTTATTATTTATTTTATTTATTTTTTTTTTTGAGATAGAGTCGACTCGCTATTTTGCCCTCAGTAGACTGCTGTAGCATCACAGCTCACAGCAACCTCAAACTCTTGGGCTTAAGTGATTCTCTTCCCTCAGCCTCCCAAGTAGCTGGGACTATAGGCACCCACCACAACACCCAGCTATCTTTTCGTTGCAGCTGTCGTCGTTTAGCTGGCCCGGGCCAGGTTAGGATCCGCCAGCCTGGGTATATGTGGCCGGTGCCCTACCCACTGAGCCACGGGCGCCGCCTGTTTCTTTATTTTATTTTTGTTTTGTTTTGTTTTTTTGAGACAGAGTCACAAACTGTTGCCCTAGATAGAGTGCCATGGCATCATAGATCACAGCAATCTCCAACTCTGGCTCAAGTGATCAAATTGCCTCCATTTTCTATTTGCAGTACAGATAGGGTCTCTCTTTTTACTCAGGCTGGTCTTGAACTCGTGAGCTCAAGCAGTCCACCCACCTCAGCCTCCCAGAGTGCTAGGATTACTGGCATGAGCCACCGTGCATGCCTGAACATTTTATTTTCATATATAGTTTACAAATTTTCCTTTGTTTTACTTTTTTGCTCATTTCATCTGCCATATGAAGTAATTAAGGCATATTTTACTCTGTTGGGTTTTTTTTTTTTTTTTTTTGGTTTTTTTGTTTTTATTTTTTGTTTTGTTTTGAGACAGTGTCTCTGTCACTTTGGTAGAGAGCTGTGGTGTCATAGCTCACAGCAGCCTCAAAGTGTTGAGCTTAAGCTATCCTTTAGCCTCACCCTCCCAAGTAGCTGGGAGTATAGGTGCCTGCCATGATGCCTGGCTATTTTTTTTTTTGGGGGGGGGGGTAGAGACAGGGTCCTGCTCTTAGGCTGGTCTCAAACTCCTGAACTCATGCCTCAGCCTCCAAGAGTGCTAGGATTACAGGTGTGAGCCTCCACACCCACCCTTATTCTGAATTTTTTAGGCGATAAACCTGAGGCTCAGAGAGATGTCCTTACCAAAACTGTAAGTGGCTTCTGAGTGGCAAAGCATTCACATCCTCTCGCTGTTTATCACACTGGGGTTTGTGTAAGTACCTAGGTCATAATAACATACCCAGCCCCAGCATAAACATGGCCTGGGATATTGGTTTTACTCAAAACGATTTTGAGGAAAGTTACATGATTTAGTTGGTATCCTAAGACATTTTTTCATTTTTATTGATACATAATAGTTGTATTAAGATGTTTTTTGTGGGCAGCGCCTGTGGCTCAAAGGAGTAAGGCGCTGGCCCCATATACTGGAGGTAGTGGGTTCAAACCTGGCCCCGGCCAAAAATAGCAAAAAAAAAAATTTCGTATAATATGATTATATTGACAAAAAATGCAGACTGACTTTTTTTTTTTTTTTTGAGACAGAGTCTCACCATGTCACCCTTGATAGAGTGCAGTAGTATCACACACACAGCAACCTCAAACATTTGGGCTTAAGCCATTCTCTTGCCTCAGCCTCGCAAATAGCTGGGACTACAGGCACCCACCACAACGCCCGGCTATTGTTTGGTTGCAGTTTAACTGAAATGTTTTGAAGATGAAACTGTGAGGCCAGGTGCAATGGCTCATGCCTTTAATCCTAGCACTCTGGGAGGCTGAGGTGGATGGATTACTTGAGCTCAGGAGTTCAAGACCAGCCAGAGCAAGAGCAAGACCCCATCTCTAAAGAAATAAGCCAGCCATTGTAGTGGGTGCCTGTAGTCCAAGTTACTCAGCCGGCTGAGACAAGATCACTTCAGCCCAAAAGCTTGAGTTGCTGTGAGCTATGATGCTGTGATACTCTACCAAGAGCAACAAAGTGAGACTCTGTTTCAAAGTTTAAAAACAAGATGAAACTATGAGTTTGAAGCAGAGAACTTTGGGCTCCATAAACCCGTGGATCACATGTTCTACTTTGCTATTAAGGACTTCATTGGAAAGGTTTAAAGGGGTTTTACTGTTTTTGTCCTATAAAAACTGAAATCTAAGTAATATCTCCTATGCAGTATGTTTGAGCCATTAGACCACTGTCTGGATTATTCCTTTTTTTTTTTTTTGAGACAGAGTCTCAAGCTGTTAACCTGGGTAGAGTGTGGTGGCATCATAGCTCACAGCAACCTCCAACTCTTGGGCTTAAGCAATTCTCTTGCCTCAGCCTCCCAAGTAGCTGGGATTACAGGTGCCTGCCACAACGCCTGGCTATTTTTTGGTTGTAGTTGTCATTGTGGTTTGGCCAGCCCGGGCTGGATTCTAACCCACCAGCTCCAATGTATGTGATTGGCACTTTAGCCACTTGAGCTACAGGTGCTGAGCCGAATTATTCCATTTTGAAAAAATTATTCACTTACGTGATGCAGATAAACACCTTGGATGTTTTATATTCACATGGTACCTCCCAGACCCTACATAATGAGGTGGGGGTTTTTTTGTTTTTGTTATTTTTTTTGAGACATTCTAAATACATTGCCCAAGCTACAGTGTATGGTGTCAGTCTAGCTCACAGCAACCTCTAACTCTTAGGCTTAAGCCATAATCCTGGAGGCTGGAACTAAAGGCAACTACCACAACAACCAGTTAGTTTTTTTATTCTTTGTAGAGACAGGGTCTCTCTCTTGCTCAGGCTGGTCTTGAACCCTGAGCTCAAGCGATCCACCTGCCTCAGCCTCCAAGAGTGCCTGGCCATAATGAGCTCTTTATGAAGCCCTTAAGTGTGTAGAAGTTATTGAATAATAGTTAAATTACCCCCAAAAAACAATCCAAAAAAGTTGTTTTCCCTTTAATAAACATGTGTAGAGAGTAAAAAGTGAGAGCCATTCTTACCCTTACTTCATTTCCATTCCTACCCCAGAATTGTCTCTCTTTAAATTTGGTATGATAATGTATCACCTCAGTTGAAGCAGACTTACAGCACCATAAATTCAGGATCCTAACTGCAGCTAGGCCTTCATTGTTCCTGGGCAGTCCAACAGTTTGTTCTTGTCACGTATGCTTCCATTTTCTCTTTAGTGAATTCATTTGTTCATTTATTTTACAAATATTTGGGTTTCTGCTTTATGGGGGGCACCATGCTATAATACAGAATTGAGCAAACCACTCTTTTAACCTCTAAACTTCCTCTTCCTTTCTCTCCCTCTCTATAGTCTCAGTAAATGTAGAGACTCTTTGTACTTCACAAAAAAAATAAAGGCAACAGATTAAAATTCCAGATTTCCTGTTATTAAACCTATTAACCTGTGGGCATTCTTCCTTTGGGATGCCATATTATCTCGCTGCTCTTTTTCTCCCTCTTTCCCCAGTCTCTTCCCCCTCTCACTTTCTCACTCCTTCTAAAAGATAAACTTGTATTTTTTATCCTTTAAAAAATAAAAACAAACCCTACTGACCTACTTATGTCTGCACTTGTCTTCTCTTTACCCATCTATTTCTAGAGAGTTGGTGGCAGTCTTTTTCTCTAGGATATGTTCGTTTGCCTCTTCCCTGACCCTACATTCTTGTCTTCTTGGAGTCTTTGTACCATTATTGTTTTCATCTTCATTGTCTGTTTCCTTGGTCTTTCAACTCTGAACATGGTCATGTTTCTCCTGTCTTTTTCCATGCCTGTAATCCCAGCACTTTAGGAGGCCAAGACAGGAGGATCATTTGAGGCCAGAGTTTGAGACCAGCCCAGGCAACATAGTGAGACCTCATCTCTACAAAAATTATATTATTTATTTATTCATTCATTTGTTTATTTAGGACAGAGTCTCACTCTGTCGACCTGGGTAGAATGCCGTGGTGTCATAGCTTACAGCAACCTCAAATTCTTAGGCTGAAGAGATCCTCTTACTTAAGCCTCCTGAGTAGCTGAGACTAGAGGCGTGTGCCACCATGCCTGGCTAATTTTCCTATTTTTAGTAAAGACACAGGGTTCACTCTTGCTCAGGCTGGTCTGGAACTCCTGAGCTCAAGTAATCCACCCCACCCAACCTCTACAAAAATTTTAAGACTAGTCAGGCATGGTGGTCTGTGCCTATAATCAGGCTTGAGAGACTAAAGTGGAAGGATTGCTTAAATACAGGAGTGAGTTACGATCACTCTATACTGGGTGAATTAGTGAGATCCTGTCTCAAAAAAAGAAAAAAGAGTGGTGGCTCATGCCTGTAATCCTATCTATTTTTAATAGAGACAGAGTCTTGCTCTTTCAGGCTGGTCTTGAACTTCTGAGCTCAAGTAATCCTCCCACTTCTGCCAACCAGAGTGCTGGGATTACAGTTGTAAGTTACTGCGTCTAGCTAGTTTTTGTTATTTTTTGTTTTTTTTGGCAGGGGTGGGTTTGAGATAAAGAGTATCACTTGGTTGCCCTCAGTAGAGAGCTATGGTGTCATAGCTCACAGCACCCTCAAACTCTTGGGCTGAAGTGATTCTCTGGCCTCAGCCTCCCAGGTAGCTGAGACTATAGGCACTCTCCCTGATGCCTGGCTATTTTTAGAGACAGGGATCTCACTCTTGTTCAGGTTGGTCTCGAACCGTGAGCTCAGGCAATCCACCGGCCTCGGCCTCCCAAAGTTCTAGGATTAATGGCGTGAACCACCGTGCCGGCCTCCAGTTTTTTTCTTTTTGTTTTTCTTTAAGAGATGGTGTCTTGGTGGTACCCTTGCTCAGTGGGTAGGGCGCTGGCTGCAGGCTGTCATGTTTGAACCTGGCCGAGGCCAGCTGAAACACCAATGACAACTGCAACAACAAAAATAAATAGCCGGGCGTTATGGTGGGCACCTGTAGTTGTGTCTAGCTTAACACTTAGATTTTTTGTTTTTTTTGAGACAGAATCTTACTATGTCGCCCTCAGTAGAGTGCTGTGGCATCACAACTCACAGCAACCTCAAATTCTTGGGTGTAAGCAGTTCTCTTGCCTCAGCCTCCCAAGTAGCTGGGAATACAGGCACCCGCCACAATGCCCAGCTATTATTTTTTCTTGTTATTGTTGCAGTTGTCATTGTTGTTTATCTGGTCTGGGCTGGATTTGAACCCACCAGCCTCGGTGTATGTGGCCAGCGCCCTACCCACTGAGCTATGGGTGCTGCCCAACTCTTAGATTTCTTAAAGCATTATCCATTCTCTTCATTTCCATTCTTTTTGCCCTAGTAATCTCATCAGCTCATGTGATCACACTTAAATCCTAATGACTCCTAAATTTAAGTTCCCTGGGTCTTTCTTTTGAGTTAGATGTATGTAAATATCTATCCCTCGCCATCCCATCCCTACTTTGATTATCTCTGGCATTTCAAATTTAACATGTCCACAACTAAATGTCTAATACTTCCCTGCTATACCCAACCCCCAACACCCCAAAACAAACACATACACCTATTGGTGTTTGTCTGTCTTCTACTATTCCTATCTTAGTAAGTAGCCTGCCTGCCTGGATTTCCAAGCCCAAAATTTGGAGGTCACTCCTGACAGCATCTTTTTTTTCCCCCCCCCTTGAGACAGAGTCTTACTCTGTTGCCTGGCTGGAGTGCTGTGGCCTCAGAGTTTGAGCCCAGCCTGGGCAACGTGGCAAGGGAACTACAAGCTCCCACCACAATGTCTGGCTAATTTTGTTTTCTATTTTTTTTTTAGTAGACACAAACTGGTCTTGAACTCCTTAGCTCAAGCAGTCCTCACAGCTCAGCCTCCCAGAGCCCTAAGATTAAAGGGATGAGCTACCATGCCTGGCCCCTGGCACCCATCTTCTTCCCCATCGTACATTGTCACTAAATCTTATCAATTCAACTTCCTCCATCTTTCACCAGTTCTTCCCTTCTCTTCTATGGCCATTATCATCATCTGTGTCCATCTCTCTCCATATCCCCATGTCTCTTATTTCTCTTTTTAATTCATTTTCTATGTAGAAATTTTTTTTAAAAAACAGAGGCAATGTATTCTTAACTCGTTAGAATGCTTATTAGTGCTTTCTCATTGACAAGTTACACTGGGCTTTTCATTTTTGCTTTCAGGTGTTCATTTGCGAAAGCAGCATTCCTACATTGAGCAAGGCAAGAAATGCCGTTACTGCGATGCTGTGTTTCATGAGCGCTATGCCCTCATCCAGCACCAGAAGTCACACAAGAACGAGAAGCGCTTTAAGTGTGACCAGTGTGATTATGCTTGTAGACAGGTATGAACCCTCAGCAAACCACTGATGCCTCACCAGTCTCCAATATTATCAAAAGGGTTTTTTTTTAATATATCTTACTATGGTGGGTTTTTTTTTTTTTTTTTTGGTAGAGACAGAGTTTCACTTTATCACCCTCAGTAGAGTGCCATGGCATCACACAGCTCACAGCAACCTCCAACTCCTAAGCTTAGGTTATTCTCTTGCTTCAGCCTCCCAAGTAGCTGGGACTATAGGTGCCCACCACAATGCCCGGCTATTTTTCATATGAAAGCTATAACCCAATTATAGCCCAAGAATATGGGGAAAGGGAGGGGAGGGGTGGGAAGAGGTTGGGTGGAGGGAGGGTAATTGGTGGGACCACACCTACAGTGCATCTTACAAGGGTACCTGTGAAACTTACTAAATGTAGAATATAAATGTCTCAACTCAATAACTAAGAAATTGCGGCTCGGCACCTATAGCTCAACCGGCTAGGGCGCCAGCCACGTACACCTAGGGTGGCGGGTTTGAATCCCCAGCCCGGACCCGCCAAACAACAATGACGGCTGCAACCAAAGAATAGGCCGGGCGTTGTGGCGGGCGCCTGTGGTCCCAGCTACTTGGGAGGCAGAGGCAGGAGACTCGCTTGAGCCCAGGAGTTGGAGGTTGCTGTGAGCTGTAGTGCCACGGCACTCTACCCAGGGGGACAGCTTGAGGCTCTGTCTCAAAAAAAAAAAAAGAAAGAAATTGCCATGAAGGCTATGTTAACCAGTTTGATGAAAATATTTCAAATTGTATATAAAACCAGCACATTGTACCCCATGACTGCATTAATGTGCACAGTGATGATTTAATTTAAAAAAAGAAGAAAAGAAAAGGCTATGGTCTGTAAAGAATGTCATCAGAATCAAAGGTCATGCTTTATTTAGTCACAGGTTACTAAGGCAGACGACTTTTTCAAAACTACGTGAAAGGCCAGGCACGGTGGCTCATGTCTATAATCCTAGCACTCTGGGAGGCTGAGATGGGTGGATTGCCTGAGCCTCCCAGGTTTGAGACCAGCCTGATCAAGAGTTAGACTCATCTCTTAAAAAAAAAAAATAATAACTGAGCATTGTGGTAGGCGCTTATAGTCCCAGATACTTGGAAGGCTGAGGCAAGAAAATCACTTGAGCCCAAGAGTTTGAGGTTGCTATGAGCTATGATGCCATGGCACTCTACCAAAGGTAACAGAGTGAGACTCTGTGTCAAAAACAAAAACACAAACACTGCCATGCGTAGTGGCTCACACCTGTAATCCTAGCACTCTGGGAGGCCGAAACAGGTGGATTGCCTGAGCTCACGGGTTAGAGACCAGCCTGAGCAAGAGCGAGACCCTGTCTCTAAAAATAGCTGGGCATTGTGGTGGGCGCCTGTAGTCCCAGCTGCCTGTACTAGAATTTATGGAAACAATTTTGTGCCCCAGTAAAGAATGATAGCTTTATCTTCACAAGCAGTGTGGAGTCTAGTCCCTTGGATGAGAAAGGCCTTTTGTTCAGGTGGGTGCATGGAGGAGGTATCTGGGTAGCTGCCCAGTACAAGACTCTGACACCCTCCTGCCACCCCTGCTATTTTAGGAGCGGCACATGATCATGCATAAGCGCACCCACACTGGGGAGAAGCCCTACGCCTGCAGCCACTGCGACAAGACCTTCCGCCAGAAGCAGCTCCTCGACATGCACTTCAAACGCTACCATGACCCTAACTTTGTCCCCGCAGCCTTTGTCTGTTCTAAGTGTGGGAAAACATTTACACGTCGGGTAAGGGTCAGAACTGCACTTCCCCTCGTACGGTCTTAATATGGAATTTTTTATCTTCTGCTGCAAAGTTGGGGTGGTGTTTCTGCTGAGGATATAAATGTAGAGATGCTCTACCCTTTGAAAAGGGCCATTCATCCTCATCTCAGGGTTTTCTATCCATACATGAACTCTTCCACTGTTGGCAAATGAAGTATCTTTGATTAGGATTGATTCTGTAAGGAAATTTCCTTAGGTAGATTGAAATCTGCATCCATCTCTATCTCACCCCTGGCTAGCTTAAACTGTGTCCTGGGTAGAGGTGGGGCATGTTAGTCAGGTCTGCACAGGATGAGGAGCTGTCCTGATCTGCCCTGTCCCTGTCTGTGAACTTCTGAGTCTCCTCTTGAGGACCCAGCCTTATCCATTTCCCTTGGATGGGGAGAGCATGTTCAGGGCACACTTAGCAGATAATAGAACTTTCAGACTTAATATATTGATATTATTAAAATGAAGTAAAGAGAACTTCTGATCTTATCTCAGCTTTTTTAGTAGTGAGAAAGAGAATTTTGTTCCTTTTATTAGAATACCATGGCAAGACATGCTGATAATTGTGCTGGTCCAGATGGTGTAGAAGGGGAAAATGGAGGAGAAACTAAGAAGAGTAAACGTGGAAGAAAAAGAAAGATGCGCTCTAAAAAAGAAGATTCTTCTGATAGTGGTAGGTAACTTTTTTCTGAATTTGGTTACACATGATTTTGGAACCCAGTTTCCAGTATGTTTACAAAGGGGTATGCTGGGATAGAAAGGTGGGCACGTTACTCTTAACTTTGTTTAAACTTCTGATCTTCCTAATGTCTACTGACAACATCAGTTAATTTTTTCCTGGGGCACATTTTCTTTTTCCTCATGGCATTCCAGTGCTTATTAATACCTTATATGCAGTGTTTAGTTAAAGCCAAAGCAAAGTTAATACCTTTATTCAGTTTATTCAAATTAGTGATAATCTAAGGCCAGCAGAGTTTCTTTTCTATGTTCTTAACTTTTACATTTAGGAAGCTGGTCTAGATTTTGAGCAGTGAATCTAATGGACATGAAGAAGGTTGCTTAAGCATCTTGACTTGTGGTTTGACTGCCTGTGTCAGCCTAGCCTTGAGATGTGTTGATCAAATCAGTGAAGGTCAGCCTTTCTCTTCCTACTTTAATCTCTCCATTTTTAATTTAATATCTTGCCTATTTTCCTTTGATTAGTGCTCTTTGAGGTGTTTTGTGCCTTTTCTAAGTCATGAAACCTAAACGGGGTTGTGCTTAGAGGTGCCAAGCCTCTCAAGGAAAAAGAAGAATTGGTAATTTGGGAGCCATGTTTGATAACACAATGTTCAAAAGTGATAGATTCTATAATGTAGTTACCTAGGCTACTGGCACCCCGGTGGGAAGGTTCATCTCTGACTGAAGATTTAAAGTTTTATGTTGGAAAAAATTGTAGAGAGTTTTGTTTCAAGGGATGCACCATCAGACTGGAGAGATCAGAGTTGATGCCTAAGGAGTCCTCCTTGTGTTGTCAGTAGAAATAGTAGGGAGGAAATGAAATTTTTCATTTTATTTTATTACCATGTAATTTCTTGAGACAAGGTCTTGTTCTGTGGCCTGAGCTACGGTGGAATCATCCCTTAGCTCACCTCAAACTTGCAGGCTCAGTTGATCCTCCTGTCTCAGCCTCCCATGTATGAGATTATGGGCATCCCCCACCAGGCTTGGTTGATTCTGTTTTTTTGTAGAGATAGGGGTCTCCTTGTTCAAGCTGGTCTTAAACTCCTGGCCTCAAACAGTGCTTCTCCCTCAGCCTCCCAAAGTACTAGGATTACAGGGGTGAACCACTGCAGCTAGCCACAGTTTTTTTTTTTGGGCCAGGGCTGGATTTGAACTCGCACCTCCAGCATATGAGGCTGGTGCCCTACTCCTTTGAGCCACCGGCGCCACCCCACAATTTTTATAAAATGAACCTATTAGAGACCTTTAGTCATTGTGTTGGTTTTATTATAAAACTTATTGTAAAAGCACTAAGTTTTTTATATTTAGGTGTGTAACAAGGCCCCCCTCCTTTTAACTTTTATTTTATAAACGGAGTCTCACTTTGTTGCCCTCAGTAGAGTACAGTGGCATCATAGCTCACAGCAACCTCAAACTCTTCGGCCCAAGTGATTCTCTTGCCTCAGCCTCCCAAGTAGCTGGGACTACAAGCGCCTGCCACAACTCCTGGCTATTTTTTGGTTGTAGTTGTCATTGTTTGGCAGGCCTGGCTGGATTCGAATCCACCACCTCTGATGTATGTGGCTAGTGCCTTAGCCAATTGAACTACAGTCACCGAGCCAAATGGTCGCTGAGTTTTAAGTATATTCCTCCTCTAAATGTCAATTTGCTTACTTTCTATAGAAGTACACCTCTCTAAAGAGTATCTTTGTAGATCTTGTTTGGCTAAGAAATACTGCAGTAAACTTTCAGGAGTTACCAGGAATGTCAGAAGACCCCAGATATTTCCAGTGATTGCAAATAACCTTGAGTTTGAGGATACTATAATTGCTGTTAGTTGCAGAGACTCCTCGGTTGTGCCCTTCTATCTTTTTTTGAGATAGAGTCTCACTACATTGCCCTTGTAGTGATAGAGTGCCATGGGGTCACACAGCTCACAGCAACCTCAAACTCTTGGGCTAAAGTGATTCTCTTGCCTCAGCCCCCCAAGTAGCTGGGACTATAAGTGCCCAACATAAAGCCCGGCTATTTTTTTGTTGCAGTTGTCATTGTTGTTTAGCAGGCCCGAGCTGGGTTTGAACCTACCAACCTGGGTGTATGTGGCTGGTGCCCTACCCACTGAGGTACGGGTGCCACCCACGTGACCTTTTTTCTCATGGACTGCCTTACTCACATCTGTGGCTCCTCTCTTAGAATCCCAGCTTCACTCCTTAATTGTATGTTGCCAGAAGGTTCTTTAGGCTAAAGAGATTATTGATGGTTTCAGATAGATTTCTATAATTCTTTTTGTCTGGTGCTAGTTAGTAAAGCATGGGGATTGGTTTGGGGCCTCATACCTAGTGTCTCTACATCTCCTCTCCCAGAAAATGAAAATCATGGCCAGGTTAGGTGGCTCATGCCTTTAATCCTAGCACTTGAGGCCTTGATCTCAGGAGTAGAGACCAGCCTGAATAAGAGCAAAACCCCATCTCTAATAAAAAAAAAAAAAAGAAAAATCAGCAGGGTGTTGTGGCGGGCACATGTAATCCCAGCTGCTTAGGAGGCTGAAGCAGAAGGCTCACTAGAGCCCTGGAGTTTGAGGTTGCAGTGAGCTAGGCTGATGGACATGGCACTGTAGTCTGGGGCAACAGAGTGAGACTCTTGCCTCAAAGAAAGAAAACAAAGTCATTTTCGGGTCCATCCCATTTATATGTTACAAAGGCCGTGCAGTTTTAATTGTCCTGTCCCAGAAATTCTGCCTACTAGTCATCTATAGAGATTGACTAGCAGAGTCTACTGCTATTTTTAAAGCTTTTGGCTAAAGTAGTTTGAAGGCTTTGACCCTTTTAACCTTTGTGTGCTTCCCCCTTCAGTTCTGACTGAATTTATTTAGTTTTCTAGGCATTGTGCCAATTCAGGCAATAGGGGGCTTGACTAAGTTCAACTGGGAACCATTGCATTCTTGAAACACTGCCATCCACCATTTCCCCCCATGTTTTCACTTAGGAGAAGTAAGGCATTTTGTCCTAGAGATCAGCATTTACCCACAGATCTCTAAATTTAAACATTTTGTTCCAGAGAAAGAAACTGTGCGTTAATAACCTTTGCTTTTAGAGGAAGAGAAGCTGTGTACATTTTGTGTCATAGTAATGAGAGAGGACTAACACAAGCACCGTTTGGCTCAGAGACTCAAAGCCGTATTATCTGACTCCTCATTCATTCTATAGTAGTTCTTTCACTTTTTTTTTT